TCTATCTTGATAAATTACCTATCAATAAATTATTGTAAATCTAACCTGTCTTGTGTTTTCATTGTAGGGCAAGTTGGCCCTTTAATTTTTTTAGTGTTCAAGGACCCGGGGTCCTTTACTGGCGCCCGAGCAGGGACCAGTAGTGAAGCTAATTGGAGTGAAGTGATAATTAAGTGGAAAAAAATAGCTAAACTAAAGCTATATTTAAAGAAAGGATTAAAAGCCAATAAGTGAAAAAATATTAGCTAAACAAAAGCTATATTTAAGCAAAAAGAATTAAAAGCCAATAAGCGAAAAAATATTAGCCAAACAAAAGCTATATTTAAGCAAAAAGAATTAAAAGCCAATAAGTGAAAAAATATTAGCTGAAATAAAGCTATATCTAAAAAAAGAATCAAAAGCCAATACGTGAAAAAATTTAGCTAAATAAAGGCTATAAATTAGAGTGAACAATTAAATGTTAATCCTGGTTACGTGAGTAATATTTCTTGTTGTTTCCATATTTCTTCTCTTCCGTCTTCCAGGATGGATTCACTCCAGGTTACAGTTACAAATTTGACAGGTGCGGTGAATGCACTTATGGACCGATTAAATGGTCTGGAAAGGCGTGCATCGTGCTTGGACACACTCCAAAACAAAATCGCTTTGTTAGAAGCTGCTACCCCGGAGCGAGTAGCGGAAGAAGTTCCAGTTCAACCCCGAGCTCCAGCAACTGAGGCGGAATTAAGAGATATCTCGAGGCTTCCAGACTCCGTAAAGGAGCTACAGATTTTTAATGGTAATCCAACGATGTATGTGTCGTGGGTGCACGCTGTCGAAAGCATCCTTACGGATTTCGAGCCAGTGAAGAATAAGCCCATCTATCGGGCAATCCTACAACACGTTCGCCAAAAGATACGAGGGCCGGCCGATACTGCCCTCATATCCTATAGTATTTTTGACACTGACTGGGCCGCCATGAAGGAATGTCTATCACTCCATTGTGTGGACAAACGTGATATCAGCACCTTGGAGTACCAACTCCACCAACTCTCCCAAAAGGATTCACGGCTCGATGACTTCTACGGAGCCGTGAACCACCACTTTGCCCTAATAATTAATAAACTTAAAACTGAGAAATATTCTCAGGAGACAGTCCGAGTACTGATAGACACGTACAGGAACCGCGCGCTGGATGTTTTCATCCGCGGATTGAATGGGGATCTCTCGAAGATGCTCCTGGTTCAGCGCCCAAAGACTCTACCCGAAGCATATTCAAGGTGCCTCGAAATACAAAATACAAACTTGAGAAATTACACAGTGCATAATACGCGATTCAATAATCGCATTGTCGCACCGATGAACACCATGCCAGAACGCATGCATGGCCTAGAGGGCAACAAGGCACCTCCGCCACCACCAAGGACGACATACCGTCCCCAAGAGCGACGATATCCCTTCGAAAAACGAGGTGGGTACACTGCTCCAAAACGAGATCCTCCAACAACCTCTCAGCCACCCGTCGAGAAAATGGACGTAGACCAATCTACCCAGTCCCGTAAGGTAAACTACATGAATAGACCAAATCCTTTTAAACGAGGTGCAAGGTCAGACAATCTTCCGCGGAAACAGCAAAAGCTGTTCAACATAGAAACAGAGGGCACGAACGACGAAGTGAATAACTACCTACAGAATGCACAAGATGCACAGGAGGAGAATTTTTTTATCCGACGGCCATCTAGCGTACCTTACATAGAGTACGTACTCCCTGACGGCCGCATCCTAGACTTTCTCATCGACACTGGTGCCAATAAAAATTTCATCAGCCGAACGATCGTAAAGCAAGGTAATGCGGTCGAAAACCCTTTCTCCGTAAGATCAGCTGGCGGAAATATTCTCATAAAAGAAAAAATTAATTTAAACCTGTTTAAAGACATAAGTAGCGACTCCGAGACAACCTTCTTTGTGCTCCCAGGATTGACGTCATTTGATGGGATCATAGGAGACGACACACTTAGGGATATAGGTGCTATAGTTGATAGGAAATCGAACATCCTGAAGGTAAACGAACACAAAATTCCATTGAAAGCTCGCATATCTACGCAAGTAAACTATACGTTGTCTAAAGATCTCCCTCCTGACACAGAAGGAAAAGTGCGTAACCTTATTGATAAATTTAGCGATCTTTTCTTACCCCTAAACGGGACGGAATTAGTGGACACTTGCGTTCGAGCTGAAATCAAGACAACGACCCCTGAACCTATTTATAGCAAAAGCTATCCCTATCCTTCTTGTATGAGAGAAGAGGTCAACCGACAAGTTGACGAGTTGTTAGAAGAAGGAGTTATCCGACCTTCCAAGAGCCCATATAACTCTCCTATTTGGGTGGTTCCTAAAAAACCTAAGCCCGATGGGGAGAAACAGTACCGAATGGTAATAGATTACAAAAGGCTTAACGCTGTAACGATCCCCGACACCTACCCTATTCCGGATATAAACGCTACCTTGTGTAGTCTTGGCAACTCTCGCTACTTCACAACCATTGATTTGACTTCAGGGTTCCATCAAATCCCTATGAAGGAATCCGACATACCAAAAACTGCTTTCTCAACGATGAATGGGAAGTATGAGTTTTTGAGATTGCCTTTCGGCCTTAAAAACGCACCGGCCATTTTTCAACGCATGATCGACGACGTACTGAAACAATATATCGGCAAAATCTGCTACGTTTACATAGACGATATCATTGTGTTTGGTAAGGATGTCGATGATCATTTGAAGAATGTCGAAATGGTATTTTCTCAACTGCTACGATCCAATCTTAAAGTGAATTTAGAAAAAAACACATTTCCTGCAGACTGAGGTTGAATTTTTAGGGTACATCATCACCCCCGAAGGAGTTCGTCCTGATCCAAAAAAGGTCGAGGCCATGAACTCAATCTTGCCACCACGCAATTTGAAAGATCTAAAAAGTTTTTTGGGAATGACCTCCTACTATCGGAAGTTCATTCGGGACTATGCAAAAATAGCTAAGCCATTAACAAACCTAACGCGTGGGCAAAATGCACAAATAAGGGCCAGCGCATCAAGGAAGGTAGCAATACAACTTGACAGTGCCGCCTTGCAGGCCTTTACTGACCTGAAACGTGTGCTAACCTCTGCCGATGTTCTGTCATTTCCTGATTTCGGCAAGCCTTTTAACCTGACCACTGACGCATCGAACTACGCAATTGGTGCAGTTCTATCACAGGGGGATATGGGTACGGACAAACCAATTGCATATGTTTCTCGTTCCCTAAACAGGACTGAGGAAAACTACGCCACCAATGAAAAGGAGATGTTAGCTATTGTATGGGCATTAGATAATTTGAGATCATATTTGTACGGTTGCAAAAAGATAAGGATATATACTGATCACCAACCTTTAACCTTCTCCTTGAGCTGCCGCAATTATAATGCAAAATTAAAAAGGTGGAAGGCACGAATCGAGGAGTATAACTGCGAAATAATTTATAAGCCAGGGAAGGCTAACGTAGTTGCCGATGCTCTTTCACGTCTGAAGACCGAAGTTAACGCTTTAACGGATTCTGTGGTGGCTGAACCGTCAGGAAGCGAAATTGGAAACAATGATGAGGATGCTGCATCGGAGGCAACGATTCACTCCGCTGAACAAGATAATTCCGATCTGATACCGCATGTAGAGGTACCCATAAACGTCTTTAGGAATCAGCTGATATTTAGGGTGGGTCAAGAATCTCGATGCCATGAGCAACCGCATCATGGTTACCGCAGATATTTTATTTCTTTACCAAACATCGATAGGTCGAACCTCATTCCAATTCTTAAAGAATGCCTTAACCCTAATGTCATAAATGGCATAAAAATCCCTGAGGAATTTATCCAACTGTTGCAAAACGTGTATACGGATAACTTCCACAGGTATAAAATCAGGATAACCCAGCGCCTAGTGGAAGATGTAACTATCCCAGACAGAATTTTCAATATAATCGAGGAAGAGCATCGCAGAGCACACCGGAATCCAAAGGAAAATCGGGAACAGGTTTTGGAAAAATACTACTTTCCAGGTATGTCAAAACAAATTAGGGATTATGTTAAGCAGTGCGAAGTCTGCAAGCTTAACAAATATGACAGGCACCCGGCTAAGCCTCATCTCCAACCGACACCAATTCCCAGCCACCCATGTGAGATTATCCACATGGATATTTTTGAAATCGAAAAACAGAAGTTCCTTAGTTGTATTGACAAATTTTCGAAATTTGCCAAACTGTTCCCTATCAAAAATAAGTCGTCCGTTTATATTAGAAGAAAACTTACCGATGTTTTACATTATTTTTCCGTGCCAAAAACCTTGGTCATGGACAACGAGAGGGGATTCCTAACTCCACTCGTTCTCAATTACATTAGGTCTCTCGGGATTGAAATCTACCAGACTCCTACACAACGGAGCGAGGCCAATGGCCAGGTAGAAAGGCTACATTCAACCTTGATAGAAATTTATCGATGCTTGTCTAATGATTTTCCCAGGATGACTCCCAAGGAGAGGATAGCGATTGTCGTAGACAGATACAACAATACAATCCACTCCATAACCAAAAGAAAACCGGTGGATGTATTCTTCAATAGAACAGCTCGGATAAACTATCAAGGCCTGAGAGACTTTAGGGACCAAACGCACGAAAATATCAAGGCTCTCTTACTCCACGAACAGGAGAGTAGAAATGCGAGAAAGAATAAAACTCGCTCGCCCCCTCGGAACTTTAATAGCGGTGATGAATTATTCATCGCCAACAAACAAATAAAAGGTAAACAAAAGGCACTTTATAAAAAAGAAGCCGTTGCCGAGAACAGAAATGTTACCATTACCACGGAAAGTGGAAAAAAATTCCACAAAGTGGATGTAAAGAACGTATAAGATAACATTGGTCAAAAGGTTAATGAGAAGCTTAAAGATCATTAGAATCCGGAGGTCCGGATGCAAGCGTTAACGCGCCTGTAGCCGTTGAAGTTATAGTGGATCAATTCCTTTTTCCTCACTGGTGTGGGATAACTGATGCGGAGGGGTTCAACTCCCCCAAAATGATCTTCTGCTTACTTGCGTGAAGCCATCCGTGCCATGAGTAGGTCGTTTGCAATTATAAACGCTTACGAATGAAAGGGATCAACGCGGACCTTCCATAGTCAAGTTAACACCTATATTCCAATGCAAATGGAAAAAATATACGTCACAAAATATAAATTGCAAAATAAATGCAAGTATAAGCTGCGAAAAAGGCGGCAAATATGCGTAAAAAGAAGCGCCAAAAAATAAAAAAAAAAACAATAAAAAAAAAAAAAAAAAAAATAATATAAAAAAAAGGGAATGGAGATTCTCTCTCAAAAAAAAAAAAAAAGAAAAAGAAAAAATAATAATTTTCTTTTGCATGAAACCTACTAATAAATTAACGATTTTAAATTTTTCCATAACCAATAACACTAGTCGAATTAGAAACTTCCACTAATATAACCAAATACTTCACTACTGGGTTCCCAACTAATCGAAATAGGAAACCCTTTTTAACATAATAGACTCCACCAGCTTTTACTAATTCAACCTCCACTATGCAACTCGAATTAGGATAAGTTCCTAGAATATTCTTAAGAAATTTATTGTATGAATGAATGACTGTTTGAAATTTCATAGACTAGCCTAGCAAAATAGACACTAAGATGATACAATTTTTTACTAACATTACTATAATTCATAGCATCTGCCTCTGCGCAACCGCGCACTCTTATGAGATATTTAAAATAGACTCACCACTGGCTTCTATACGAGATGGGTACGGTTGGATCATCGATGGGCACTTTAAGCTCATTCACATAATTGATCTGGAGCGCTATGACTTGGCAACGGCTCAACTGGAGCGTTCATTAAGCAACCTCAATGAAACAACAACAACAACAACAGAGGTACTACTGTTCCAACTTAACAGAATTCACATGCACTTAAACGAGCTAAGAGGGCACAAACTTGCGAGATCAAAGCGATCCATTAATTGGATAGGGTCTGCCTGGAAGTGGGTAGCCGGTTCACCAGATGCCACTGACTGGGATAAGGTCCTCAGCAACGAGAACTCCCTTAATCAAAATAATAACAGACAATACAAGGTAAACAATGCAATTTTCAAGAAAACTAGCGAATTATTGCAGAAGCTAAACACCATTGTGACGATCACAAATGACGTCGTTGAGCGGAGAATCAGGGAAAGGCTCGAACAGGATGTCCAAAACAAAATAACCATTCTGAAAGAAGACGTAAACGAGCTGATACGCGCCTGCCAAATGGCCAAGGCTGGCATCGTCAACAGCAACCTGCTAAGCAAGGAAGAAGTTAACCAGCTTGTTGGCGAGATCGACATCCTTCCATACAGTAATGCCATCGAAGCGATCGAGTATAGTACACCCTCGATCTACACTAACAACACGCTATTGCTGTATGTTTTATCTCTGCCTAAAGTCACGGAAGAAAGATTCAACCATCTTATCACACGAGCTAATATTCGGAACGGCCATCGGATAGAATTGGCCTACAGAACTATCCTTGTAAGCAAACGGGAGACGTATGGCATAAAGGGAGATTGTTTGCACCTATCGTCTGCAATGGTATGCGAAAAGAAATCCTTGGACTTGCTACCGGAGGCCGGTTGTTTGGCGCGCCTCCTCAAAGGCGGAGAAACAAGTTGCCCTTACGTAACAAGCAACGTATCCACCATCGAAATAATCAAAGAGGATACAATTTTCCTGGACAATTTCGTTGGCACCATAAGTTCAGGTAAAACCACTGCTAATCTTAACGGTTCCTATATTCTCCAGGTAGACAATGAGACGGTAGTAATCAACAACCAGACGTATTCAAGCATTACCACCTCAGGAGTTCAGGTGCTCCCACCAATCCTAACTAGTGTCACGAACCACACCATGGCTTTAAACCTCGATCTGGTACATGGAATGGCAATAGACAACTTGAAAATATTGAAACTCCTTAAGTCTGAAACGAATTGGTTCATGCTATCCGAGGGATCAGGACTACTACTACTTATGATTCTAATTTGGTTCATCTGGAGAAAACTCACAGCAAAGATCCACTTACCCGAAATAAAAATTGAAAACCGCCTTAGTCGAAGGATCGAGAACCCCCCTTCGCCATCCAATCTGCGGGACGCAGACATTTAAAGGGGGAGGAGTTAACACGCTGCGGCACCCAAAATATTCCATTCCCACACTCTACT